GCCGATTGATGTTTTCGAGTTTCAGTGAGCAAATTAAATATGGTCACGTGACTACATTGGTCAGCCAATTCCTTGAATTCGCTCATAAAAACCCCAGCGCAGCTGGTGAAAGCTAAGCTATTTTAAAAAATATATTCGTAAAGAATGAGTGACTAAATTAAATATTTGTTATTTCTTATTCATAATTAGGTCAGTGACTGATTATGGTGAATAACAACCCAAATTATCAATCCATGCACTTGACATTGTTTTGCCTGCGGTGCTGGTCACTATCTTTTGCCATGGACCTGTTGATATACCCAACGATGTGCCTGAGCATTGTTTATCTTGGAAAAATTGTATAGATGCACAGCTAGAGTCTTGATAATAAAACGATTCAACCTTGTCATTCAAAGATGTCGAGCTCCAGTCAACACAGTTTCCGTCTTTAGTTGTTGTTCCTGAATAGGTTTTACAGGTCCCAATGAAGTCTTCTCCAGTGCAGAGCAACAACGAATAAGCGTTGACAGATGCTAAAAGACCTGTGAATACGAGAACTTGCGCGACATACATTATAAAATAACTCTTGAATATACCTTTATGAAATATCGTTATTCATTTTTAAATAGACGTTGGCTGCTGCAAATTAGATGATTATGATGAGAATTATTTTCAGGTTATTATTTCAAATATCAAAAGTTCCACTTGAATGCTAAATTGATTTTTAAAATCATGATACAATGATTGTTGAAATGAAACGAAAGGCATCAACAGAAAGTACGTCGTCTTATGAAGTCGATCGATTTAAGAATCAAACCTCATCATTTGGTAAATATGAAGAAGAAGCCTTGAAGATAAAAATTGTTGAAGTGGCGTCATATGAAAAGATATTTGGACCAATCAGTATTGATTTGCCGGATTACCTTCAACATATGGAACTTCCAGATTTTGATTATGACAAGGTCCTGACCTTCAAGCCTTCCGAATATCCTGATTTTACTGACGCCCAATGTCTTTTGCTTACTAAACTTAAATATGTATTGATCAACAACAAAGATCCATCTTCAAACAGATTTGAACCGTATATTCAAGATTTGATTAATGATTTCTTTAGAGAGTGCAAACTTGAAGATGGTAGAAACCTATACATGATTCCTT